GCGTGCTTGGGCTGTTCTCATCAATTTCCATTCCCTGGTCTTCTTTGGCTGCGCAATATTTTTCTGCAAAGAAGGCTGCCAGCTTCTCTTCTCTTTCTAGTGGTGCAAAAGGATTCTCGGACAGGGGGATTAGCTGTGAAGGGTTGGAGACCTCTACTTTCTGCTTGTTTTTCTGTTCTTCTTTGTGTAATATTAGCTTCAGCTCGAAGTTGTTCTGTCTTATTTTCTCGAAAAACTGAATGTAATCAAGCAGTTTATTTTCCTGTTTTCTTGACCATGGGTAACCCTCTGAATCTGGGTGCTCCTGTTCTTCTTTCGTGTCTTCCCTTTCTTTTTGGCCTTCGACGTGTTTCCTCTTTTCTCGAANTTTCGTGTCTTCCCTTTCTTTTTGGCCTTCGACGTGTTTCCTCTTTTCTCGAAAAACTGAATGTAATCAAGCAGTTCATTTTCCTGTTTTCCTGATCATGGGTAACCCTCTGAATTTGGGTGCTCCTGTTCTTCTTTCGTGTTTTCCCTTTCTTTTTGGCCTTCAACGTGTTTCCTCTTTTCGCCCACCACGGGGTTTTTCTCTCCCTCTCCCTCCTTCATAGTGTGCACCCCCACCCATGCTCTCATCTGTCCCTTCGGCCTCCGTTCCGTGCTCGTAGGAGTCTTTCCCTCGACCCTTCTGTGCTCTTCTGAAATACGTTTTTTGTTTGGGGTGTTCCCCCCTTGTCTTTTCCTTTTCCTGATACCGCTTGACCGCTTCCACCCATTCTCTTTCCGTGGTTTCCTGCACCGTCTGCAGGTCTGCACACAGGTCCCTCTCCCAAATCTCTTGCTTCAGCATGTCCACGTTTATCACTGGTCTTTGGTGAAATATTTGGGTGGTCTTCTTTCAGTTTTGAGCGTTTGCCACCTGCTGTCATAAGGAGGATAGACATCCGGCTTGGGTGTTGATTCCCCATCAATGGTCCAAATCCAGTCTGGTGTGTCCAGATTATCATTGAAGACCCAACCCTCGTACTGAGGATCGGGGATGTACCAATATCCCTTTTTGTTTGCTACCTCTTGCAAATTTGCTATTTTGAGCGGTTTGGGCTTTGTGCTCTCCCTTGTTTTTGGGCAGTTGATGTCCGTGCCCAGGTGACCTCTTTGTCTGCACTTGAAGCATAACGGGTTGGTTTTGCTGGACACTGTAATCCTGATGACTTTGTTTTCTTGAGAGAAAAACCACTCGTCAGGAGTAAAAGGTAGCGGACTGTCCCCCGTGTCTAGCACTACTGTCATCTGATTGTGTTGAGGGGTAAGGAAGTCCGGTGTTGAAACAATCCATTGTGTTTCTTTGAAGTGATCATATTCCATTATGACCCTCTCTTTTATACTTTCGTGCATTCCTTCAGGCACATTATCGAATTGGATCCAAAAGTGTTTTTTAACCAGCTCTTGTCTGTATCTAAATGGCGTTTGCTGATAATTCACCGTCTGTTTCCATGGATGTACCGTGACCACTGATGAATTGCAGGTGAAACACTTGTTTTTCAGAAATGTGGCGAGTGATTCTTCCATGCATAGAACCATGATGACATTTCTTTTTGGGTGAAATGATACTTTTGGTTCTTGCCCCTGGATTGGTTCTAGAGACTTCAATTTTTCCAAAATCCATTTTAATTTCGCTTGTCTGTCCAATTGCTGGTTTTTTTTGGAAAAAGTGAATAAAACTACATGCTTCTTGTGGAGTTCTTCTTGTTTGGACGATAGCTCCTTGGGGCATTCATAGATGACCACTTCCTCCTTGTTGTCCCCGCCGCGATCAATAAGTTTGGTGGTCTTGACGAGGGGAGTTCTGGTCTGCTCTGCGAGCCAGTTTTGAGTTTCCATGCCCATTCCTTCCATTGATGTGGCTGAGTTGTGACTCTCTCGTTCTGATGTTTGTTATAGAGTGATGTCTAACCGATATTACGCTTGGCTGCCCTTGTTAAGGAGTGGGTGGGAGAGGAGAAGAGGAAGGGTGAGGTAAGAGGGATGCGGTTGGATTAAGTTACGATAAGGGGGGGGGGGGGGGGGGGGGGGGGGGGGGGGGGGGGGGGGGGGGGGGGGGGGGGGGGGGGGGGGGGGGGGGGGGGGGGGGGGGGGGGGGGGGGGGAGAAGAGGAGAGATGAGCTAGAGGTTAGGGGCGGGGCGAGAATAAGCGGAAGGGATCGGAGGAGACTTGGAAGTGGTGTTGGGGACAGCGCTGTGACGCCCAAACCTCACGCCCGACGCGACTTCCTGATCGGAGTGGGATGTGGGCCTGGAAGTGCAAAAAGGGGTCTGCCAAGGATTTTTGGGAAATAGGGGGTGGAGTTCCAGGTCAGAATTGAGATCTCCTGTGGCAAGGTTCCAGGGGCATAGGTGCAATGAGGCTAAGGGACGGGTTACTTTCGGTCTGATGGCGGTCGAGGTCGTGCAGCATAAGGCAGATGGCATGCGCGGTGCATCCTGGGGCCGTTCGATCCGCCCGTTCCAGTGATGGCGGTTCGGGAGAGGTCCGTTCGTGAGGGTTGCGATTTCTATGGGTCGGACCTCCGGTTGTGGACACGTGGCGATTGACGTCGCGCGTTATGGTTAGGCTCTGTAATTCTAGAGGCTCGGCAGTTGCTGTGCCGTCTGCAATTTCTGCACGGCGTGTGGGGCCAATACGGGGCAATGGAATTCCACGGTACCACCGTGAGTTGGTGGTGTGGGAGGAGAAGATGGAAGGGAGGGAAATTGGTAGCGAAAACGACGAAGCCGGGGGATATGAAATATTGGGTGTTATAAGTAGGCGGGTAGTCGGGGCACCTCGGGTCGTTGGTTATGGCGCGGTGAAAGCCCCTGGCACACAGTCGGTCGTTCTCAGTTAGACAGGGGAATTTCGGATTTCTCAAATTCCCCTGCAGCCTAAGTTGTTCTCCCTCCTAGTATTCTCGGTATTTTGGGTCTCGCAATCTCTCCCGGTCCGTGATGTACGACATCTTGTCATTTTGGCGGATCGCTAGCTGCAGCGTAGTGGGAACCCTCCGCACGCATCTAATCATGCTTCAATTGACAAGGGAATTTCCGGGTATGGTGGCGGAAATTCCAATCGGCTCAAATTCTCGCACAAGGGAAAATTCCGCACTTATCCCGATATTGGAGGTGCCAAGTTCATCAGTGATCGCTAATCGCCCGCGTGTGGGCACGTGTAGGCCGCGTTGATCAGATCGCGCTTACACTTGCGCACACGAGGTGTTCGATCGTACACGGGCCTGTTGGCTGATTTTCGTGCAAAAGTGAGTTTTCAGTCCTACATGCAAAATCGCCACGTGGCATATATAATCACCCAATCATCTAATCATTCAGTGATCCCGCAACCCAACAACATCCCTGGATTATGCCGAGTGACATCGCATCATGGCCTACTCATACATCAGATACTGTAAGGATGAGCAAAAAGAAAACAACGAGTCATATCATTCAACCATCCCTTGGGCAGAATCCATCCATTCATCGTACACCAAAAAAAAGAGAAAGGATCGAAAAACGAGAAAAGGGTCAGTCAAAGGCGAAACCCAGAAAAGATGTCGAATCAAAAAATAAGGGCGGATCGCCCGAAGCCGAGACCAAAACTTATATACAAGATTGAGAAAGACAAAGAAAATTGCAATCCCACGTCCATCCATCTCAACTCTCTCCCTCGCTTTCCCTCTCTCCGATGCGGACAGTCCGTCGTCACGCACCAACCCACGAAGTTGTCACCCCGCTTAGTCCTCCTGTGCCCGTCAGGTTTGCCCGTGTGCCATAGTCCGTCGCAGCCTACGTGTCAACCCCGCACATTCGGCACCAGCCCGTCGGGTCGCCCAACTTCCACTTCAACTCACCTCTTACTTCGCTCGTGAGCCGACCCTCTGATCGCGCTACCCCGAGCTTCCAACAACTGTTTAAGAGAGTTATCTAATTGCGCAGCCGAAATTTATAGCGTGTGTGCATGCGCGAAGAACACGGAATTGCAAGGACTTAGAAAGAGAGAAGGGGAGGGAGTGCCTACGTTCTGCATGGCCAGATCGCGGCGTGGGGGACGTAACCACTCTCCACGCATCGATCCGATCATGCAGCCCGCGGGCCAACTAGACACAACAAAGAGAGAGAGGGCGGGAAAGACGAAGCTCAAGAAGAAAGATACAGTTACAAGGGTGCCCTGCCCACAGTTACATGCAAGATTAAGGGCGCCGACTAATCAGAGCGTCGTTGCAGCCGCACAAAGAAACGCGCGAGCAAAAAGCACCGCGCGGCAAAAGAAATTTCGAACTCCTAAATTCCTAAATTCCTATTTAACGCAAAAATGCAAAAAGCACAAATCCCGAAAAGTCCGAAATTCCGAGAGCCATCGAGGGCTCGATAAGATTCGAAAAAGAAATTCAAAAAGAAAGAAGCAAAACTGTTGCGCGATCACCGCGCCGAAAACCCGACAGCAGAACAAGAAAGAAGCGACGTCAACCATTATTAATCGCGCCTCCGTCGGCGCGCCAACCACTCAATCGACCATCCCGGGACTTGCCCAGCCCTGGCCCCAGCCATCCGAAAGGAGCGACGTAAAAAGAAGAACAAACAAGGACACCGATGCAATTTTCCCGTTGGATCCCATCTCCCATAATTGGCCCATCCTTCCCAGCTTAGGACCCCTCATTGTCATCACGCAGAAAATCGCGCGGAACAGGAATTGGTTTGTCACAGCGCTGGGAGAGGGGTGGAGTGGAGTAGGGGAGGAACTGAGACTGAGATTGGTTCGTGTGTGAGAAAGGTTCGGATCGGGATTGGGAAGGGATCGGGATCGGGATTGGTACAGGATCAGGATCGGGATTGGGGTGGGATCTAAATGGGAACCGGTTGGGATCGAGGTCTGCTCTTGATGGGGTCAGGGTGGGGTCAGGTAAGGGTCTAGGTGAGTTCGGCGACAGGATTGGGATGAGGATGGGATCGGGATGGGGATCGTAACGGGAATAGAGGGAAGCCGGGATGGGCCCGGGAGGGGAACGAGCAGAGATCGGGATGGTGTCGGGGATGGTATCAAGACGGGATTGGGGAGGATCGGGGTAGGGATGGATCGGGAGGGGCCGGGATGAAGTCGAGTCGGGATTGGGAAAGATCAGGGTGGGATGGGGATGGAATAAGCGTGGTGGGGATTGAAGAGGGGTGGATGCGGAATGAAATTGGAAAGGGGGTGGGATCCGGGAGGGTATCGAATCTCGATTGGGGTGTGTATGGAGTTGGGGTGGGTAACAAAGCGTGGTGGGGCGCGAATTTGGGTGGGGATGCGGCCGAGGTGGGCGTGGGTTGGGGTCACGATGGGATTAGGATGAAAACGGGGTGGGGATCCGACCCAGGTGGTGAATCCAATCAGGATGAAATCGCCGGTGGGGGGGAGCTTGAATTGGGTCTAAGGTTGTGGTGGGAAAGGGATCGGGGCGGGGATCAGAACAGGATTGGGATGGAACAGGGGGGTGGCGCCGAGGTGGGACGGAGTCCGGATTGGGATGGATCCGGGGTGGAGAGTGAGTCGAGGTTGGGATGGGATCAGAGCGGCAACGAGTCGAGATCAGACTAGATCCGGGGTGGGAACGAGTCGCTAACGGATGTGGGGTGGGGGCAAAACGGGATTGGGATGGCGGGTTGGGGTGGGACGAAATTGCAAAGAGAGGGATCGGGATGGGGGTCTAATCCAGAATGGGATGGAACATGGAGGGTATCGCCCTGGGTGGGACCGGGTCGGCATTGGGATAGATTCGGGGTGGAGAATGGTTTGGGGTTGGGATGAAATCGGGACGTAATCGGAACGGGATTGGGATGGATCCGGGGTGGAAACGAATCTGAATCGGGAATGGGATGGGGGCAGATCGGGATTTGGGTGGGGGGTTGGGGTGGGAAACTGATTGTGATGGGAAAGGGATCGGGGTGGGGATCGGGTTAGGATTGGGATGGGACTGGTAGGGCGGTTCTCGGGGTGTGCCCGAGTCGGGATTGGGATGGATCAGGAGTGGAGAATGAGTCGGGGATGGAATAGGGACGGGGCGGAACTGGAACGGGATTGGGACGGATCTGGGGTGGGCACGAGTCGGAGAAGGGAATGGGGATGGGGGCGAATCGGGATTGGGGTGATGGGTTCTTACTGATTATGTCTATGTTGGGTTCTAGTACCGACCGAGGGGAGGAGAGAGCTTGGAGAGATTAGGATCATAGACGGATAATGGATCATGAATCTGACGGGGAGATTGGGCTAAGAATTGTTGTGACAGAAGGGGGGGAACATGAATGGTGGGGGGATGAGTGGTGGGGGGTTAGCGGGCAACTTCACTTGGATATTTCTCTCAATACTTGAATGTCGGTGACTTGGTACTCCTGTTGCGGCCAAAATCCCGAAGGGGGCAGTTTCGAGTATAACGCTTGTGACAATGATGAATACTTGAAGGTCTTCGAAGAAGGAAGATGTCGACTTCGTGGACTAGAACAAAGAAATCAGCTTTCCTGTCCAACTTCGTTTCCTGCTTCGATCTTTGTTTTCGCTTCTCCTTCTTGCGCTTGGCTTGTGTTAGAAATTTTCCGGAGCTTCCTTTTCCCTCGGATTGCTCTTCCTTGTATGATGAAGTCACTCTCTCTCTCTCTCTCTCTCTCTCTCTCTCTCTCTCTCTCTCTCTCTCTCTCTCTCTCTCTCTCTCTCTCTCTCTCTCTCTCTTCCATACTCTCCCCCTCCTCCTGTCCCCTTCCTTCCTTACCCCTCTCTCCCTCTCCCCCCTCTTTCCCTCT